TGTTTTAGAACAAGGCTAAAAAAATAATTTGTTGAACCACTTTGAACTGTCTTGTTGCTGAAATGGTGAACATTTCCTCACTTTGTCACATTACCACCTCAAACATCCATGTGTTTTAGTGTTATTTGGTGGAATAGCTAACAAAAAGTAGGGCATACTGTAATGGATAGTGAGCTATTTAAAATAAATTGTCTAAATTTTTTAAATTTATAGACTATTGTAAATTATTTAAAGTGAATTTTCTAAATTAAGGATGTTGCAGATTGTTTAATGATGTCTGTTTTGATTAGCACTGTTGGTAGTTTATATTTTGTTTTGTTTAATGGTATTTGCACTTTGTAATGTTTTAGGGGTTTTTGGTTTGTATGTACCTCACGGGCTGCCGTAGCTAATGAGGGCAGGTCCTGTAAAAGCTGGCAGAATCATTGTCATGAATGACGAACTGTCAAGATGCATTTGGCATAACGAAATCAACACTTAGTGTTCCCCAGTAAAAGCAGCGAGGTACGTTTAGTTTTGTTGTTTGTATTGTAAATTTCTGTTTTGTATTCTAATAGTTGTATATGTTTTTAGTTTTCACATGACTGAGGTGATCAAGGTGATTGGGATGGCTGAAATGGGTTTGGTGACTGATGATCCGCATCAAAGAAAATAAACAAAATCACCCATTGAGACTGCGCAAATTACTTCAAGTGCTGGGGAACAGCTATACATACAACAAAGCAAAGGAAGGATAAATGCTTTTGATTTTTTTGCAAATAAAAATCTGAGACATGAAATGCATTTGCATCTAGCTTCTCCTGACTCAGTATTTTGTAGAATCACCTTTTGCTGCGGTTATAGTCTTTACCAGCTCTGCACATCTACAGACTCACGTTTTCACCCGTTCCTCTTAGCTAGATCAGTCATGTTGGATGGAGGGAGCCTGTGAGTGTGATTAAGTCATGAATATCCAGTAAGAGCTACTGCCAAAGTGGCTTTTGAAAAAAAGAAACATGAGAAAGCAAAAGATTTCACTTCACTGAAACATTTATTACTAGTTCTAAAACAGTTGTCTCCTGAATGATGTCCTCAAACCACTGGTAGAGACTGTATAACATTTTATGGCTCCTATGTGAACAAATGCTGTCATATGGGAAACTTCTATTCTGGGTTTGTAAAATTGCTTTTTTGAGGGTTTTTTTTCTTACTTCTGCCTGGTGATAAGATCAGAAATAAATACCCCAGGGTCGTGTCTTGGCCTTGTACTTTGTAGTGCTGCAGCTCTCTAAATCTAAGGCTGTTATTTTTTTAAAAGGCAGCTTAAAAACAGCCTACTGCTCTGGTTCTATATGACTTCCAGACTGCATACAGCTGAGCTTTACGGCTCAGTGGATCTCAGTCAATGAACCACATCCAGGTAATGTAGCAGTGCTAAAAGCTTCAGGTCCAACACAATCACAAGTGTGCAGCCAATGAGCTTTATTCAGTCAGGTTTGAACTGCAACCATTCCAACCATGAAAACATGTTCAGCACCAACGGCCTCTGTTTGGAGCCAAGGCATGTATGGAGACGGGATTCACAAAAATCTTCCTTGTGTTGTTTTGTTGCTGATATTTAATTAATCTCCTGTGTTTTTTTCTCAACATTATCATTTTTGGTTTCTCAACAATGTTTCCAACAATATACAGGATTTAAGTGTGCTCTCACATCAAAGGAAAAGTCCAGGGTAGTTAAATTATGAGATTATTGTCCAACATTCAACTTGTCTTTTCCTGTAAGCCAGGTTGTTATGAGATATTTTAGAGCAGCACTTATTACATACAGAGTATATGAGAAAAGAAAAACAATGCCCCAAACCCCCCCCTGAGAAGAAACAACAATTACAACAATCAACAATAATGGTTTCTCTATTTTCCAGGAATTAGCCCAAATTATTTTAGTATTGTACGTGGTTCAGAAAATACAAACTCAAATGTATAATTCAAAGTAAGGTAGTCAAGTATACAAATAAAGATTATCTTTATTTGCAGGGGACCAACCACAACTATAACTCATCCCCGATACCCCTCACATCCATGTTTTCTATATATTCCATAAAAGGACCCCAAGTATTTTGAAATAGCAATAGTTTCCCTTTTATAATGAAAGTAATTTAAGATTACTTTTATAATGAAAGTAATCTTTTCCATTGGCAATGTTGTAGACATATCATTAATCCAGTTAATGAATTTTGATTTATTGGTACTCTTCCATGAGAGTGCTATGACTCTTTTTGCAAGTAGCAAACATAAATCCATGGCAGTAATAATCTTTCTGGACATATGTCTGCCAGGATATAAACCTAAAATGAACAATTTGAGGTCAAAAACTAGTTTTATAGCTATTGTAGTCTCTAGAGCTTGTTTAATCTCCCTCCAGAATTGTTCAACTTTCTTGCATTTCCAGATACAATGGAATAATGTTCCCTTCTCTTCTCCACATCTAATACACAGGTCTGGGACAGCACCATTGTATTTATTAAGCTTTTCTGGTGTCACATGTTCTCATTGGCCAATTATATTGCTGTACTTTGAGGTGTGTATTGGTAGTTTGTTTGTGCTTCAGCACACGCCTTCTTCCAGTCCTCTGAATGCAAATTCTCTGAATGCAAGTTCTCCTGTAAATCCTCCCTCCAGGCATTGAGTTTCCATAAAGACGACTCAGAGGATCCCTCCACTAACATGCTATATAGTTTGGAGATAACTCCTTTTCTAAAGCAATCATTCTTCATTTCAATTTCCAAAGTCTACAGCAGTGGGATGGATTCACATTGATTTTGAGATGATCTAATACAATTTCTCATCTGTAGACATTTAAAATAATGTTTACTTGGGATATCATACCTGGCCTTGAACCATTTCATCTCCTGTGTTTTAACATGTTTCTTATGCAGTTTAAAATTGAAACCACATATTAATGTGCTCTGTAAAACAATATTTTCTGAGTATCTTTGGTGTATTTTGACCATTTCCTCCTGACAGGAATGGTCGGGAGGAAATGAGTCAGGTCTGTAGTTGTCCGTGGTTAAATACACTTTTTTTTTTAGCTCTACAAACAGATTTTAATTACAGAACCAAGATCAGGATTTTGTGATGGTCGCTCAAGAACACTGACTTTGTTTCCTTTAGTCATTTTGTAACTAATTAAGCAATATGCTTACCTTCATTGTCCAGTTGGAAGTCCTACATATGTCCAGGTTTTACCTTCCTGGCTGATGTGTCCAGGTTTTACTTAAAATAAAAAAATAAGAAGCAATTACTGTCCTTTATTCCTTCTCTGTGTGTTGTCCATTTTGCTCAGTACTGTAACATAATAGTACAGAATAAAATTATAGCAACATATTGCCTTCAGAATTTACCATACAAACTGACAAAAAAATCCAAAAACCTTCAATTTTAAGCTGCTAACTATTAATGTATTGAAGTTGAACAGAGATGCCTTGAATTCAGTCAGCTAGAACCAAATTATTTTGTCAAACTGATTAAAATTACATTAGGCTGTTCCCCAGAATTTCAACGTGAGCTCTTAAAAGTATGTTCTCAGGCGTGTTTGTGCATGTGCATGCTGATGAATCATATTAATGACTTGTTTTTGGATATAAAGAATCTTTCCATGATTAAATATGCATTAAAAACTGCAGCTTTGATTCACTCAGATAGCCCACTTCCCTCAGTCGTTGTTGCGCATCTTGGGAGCAATGCTTGAGTAACGGAGCGTAAATAAAGTTGTCAAATGAGGAGTGTCTTTTTATTAAAGTGAATTTAGCCTGATTAGACAAATTGATGTGATCAACATTGCACTGCCAGACTACATTCCTTGACTTTGCTAATCAGCCTGTGGGGGTGGAGCCTTTTAATGGTCATTAGGTGCTAGTAATCATCAGACTGCAAGTGTCTCTGAAGGATGCAGCACATGGCTTTGAAGTGACTCAGCATGCACTCCGAGAGACATCCACCAACTCTATGGTAAATTTATTTAATTTTAACTAGAATGTATACACATGTTGGTATAGTGGAGCTTAACTGAGTCAGGGAACCGAATCAGGCCATCTTCAATAGAAGTCGTTCTTTAAGCCTCTGCAGAGGAACCCACCTCCCCCAATCCTCCAGGCGGCTGCACCCGACAGGTGTTCCCTTGTTTGATCAATTTTATTTTCAGCACTCCTTTGCCGCAGCATCACCAAATCCCACAACAATTACATCTCTGATAAAGTGTTGAGTAGGGAAGCAGCTAATGAAAAGCAACCTGCAGGGCCACTGGTGGGCAGTTATACTGTATGTCAATGCAGTAGACTTACTCCTGGTTAATGGCAACTTGGTACAGATGCTGTGTTAACCTTGGTGGGAAACCCTTTGAGCCAGCTTTGTTTACTGCCTTTGCTTTCATGTGGAAAACATTCCTGCCCATCTCAAAGGAAAACCATCCTGCATCCATGGAGGCTGGTAGGACTCTGGTGCTTCTCAAGGACACGCTGTGTGAGTGGGGCTGCTAACAAGGACAAATTTATTCATGTTGGAATCCCTTAAAGGCTTGGAATCACGGTGTAATGATGTGAGATGCTAAACACTTTGAAATAAATACTACTCTGATACATGCGTACATTTGAAACCAAGTTTTTACATAACCTACATACAAGACAAACCAATTTTAATTTTCACTGCCCAATATTAAACCAAGCAAAACTTTTCCTGGTTTGGATGATTATCAAAGTTATTTGCATTTGATTAATAAAAACTTTCCTTAAGCTTTAATTCTTACATTTCCTTTAGAGCAACCTTTAAACAATGATTTTGGTCAAATCAGTAATTTTCCACAGCATTACTTTACTATAATTTTGTCCCATTCCTCCAGACAGGACTGGTGTAACTGGGGCAGGTTTTTAGGCTGCTTTGCCCTTCATTTTTGGTACTGATATTAGGACTTTGTGATGGCCTCTTCAAATCAATGACATTCTTAAACTACTTTGTAACCAGTTTGATTGCTTGCTTTTATTATCCATTTGGAAGACCCATGTACACCACAGTAAGGATGTAAATACCTGAATTTGAACAAAGTATTTAAAACTCATTTATTCAGTTAATTGTAGGATTTAGATAAACTATGAAATCTGACCAAAAATTAGAAAATGTCTAGAAAGGTTCTACAGAGATGACTGTATTCTAGTGTTCTAACCCAGAACAGAAGTAACTGGTGAGCTTGCCATCATGAGGAAACAGCATAGATGAAATTTGTTTGTCCAATGCCTCTGTTCAGGGAACAGACTGCTGAACAGAGAGGCATTGGACAAACAGCGCACTGAAGAGAACAGGGGAGAAGGCGAGTTCAAGTCCGTGGGATTTCTGAATGATTTGCAGGAGTTCAGGTAAGCACTTACAGGAACGGAGATGAGTAACGGCGTTGGCGTGGTATTGTTGGTCCGAGGGTCCTTTGGTCTGTGGGGTTTACTTTCCCAGTGGTCTTGAGAGTGGATTGATTTGAGGAAGAGGTAAACTGAGTCGGATGGAGCGGCAGCGTCGGAGGGCGGACAGGTAGGCAAGTACTTGAAGGCGTCGGAGTGTTGGAACTGCCAGTCAGATCTCTTGGATTGGAGGCGAGTTTCAACTGTCTTTGGAGGTTCTGAAGACTCGGGCAGTGGGGTAACTGCCTGCGACGTCACGAGGAGTCAAAGCCAGATCTGGATTCAGGTTTTACCTGAGGAAAACAGATGTCACAGGAAAGAATTACTTTCAGTACAGCAGTATTGAAAGTAATTCTTTATCTCCGATACTCGGAGATAACTCGGAGGGGCGAGAGGCACCATCACTGGACAGCACTCCGGCGTTGAAGCTGGCGTTCCATCTCTCTTAAAAGCAGCAGGTAACGAGGTAATTGGTCCCCGGTGTGAGGATGACGTACTGGAGGAGGACCCTCCACCCGGCCGCCTCAAGGACTCCATCTAGTGGTGAATGGGGATGCACAGCAGCAATACAATTGCAGGTTGTTGTTTTTTTATCATTATTATTATTTCATGTCTTGGCTTGGCATTTCAGGAGTTTCGTATGGAAAAGCTTTTTGCGTTAATCCGCAGTTTTTTCTCCATAGGAAGGAAATCTGAAGATGGAACTCTAATTATATGATTAACTTTACACTAGACAAACCTTTTATTAGTGAACTCAAAAAAAAAAAAAATCTGACATATTATACTGTAGTGGTGAGAGCAGCTTTAATGGAGTTAAAATATAGGCTCTGATTTACTATACATTTTCCACCACAAATGGAGTGTATTTAATAGTTTCACTCTGAATGTCGAAGCTTTAAGCTAAATTTCTCAATTGTTACATTTTTTTTTTTTTTAACAAAAATAAACAAAAAAGTAATTGCTTAACCAGGTATACCTGCATACAGATGAAGCACCTGCACCTGTTTGGTGTAAAACCAGACAGAAGGATTCAATACAGAGGGATTGCTGTATAAAATCAAACAGATACCAAACAAATTCACATACCAAACAGCGATTCTGTGTACTACAGTCCTTGTTTGAAGCCAGTCATCATGTGGGTGCAAACATATTCGAGGTTGGAGTCTCCCACCCTCAACGTGATCTGCAGAGGTGATTACTGGTCCTCATGCCAGAAACGCTTCTCCTAGAATCAGAAGTAGGGATGCTCAACATATTTATGCTTCTGTTTGAAGAATATCAGTTTAACACCATTTCTAAAAGTAGAATGGGAGGCAGATCTTTTGCTTCTCAGGCTCCTCTCATGTCGAACCAGATCCCAGTTGTGGCCCGTGAATCAGACCCCTTGCATACTTTTAAGACTCACAACTTTCCCTTTTGTTAAAACTTGAAGTTAGACTGGCTATAGCAGCAGCTGCCATAATCTTCACTTCTGGAGGACAAACTGACCATTTTCTTCTACTCCTCTACAGTTTGCATTATTTGTTGTTATTTCAACTGTTAACTTTGTTTTCTCTCAATTTGATAGAGATTTTTGGTATTATCATTTTGTTATTACTTTAGTTCATATTCAGTCTAATGTTAATCAGTATTATTGTGATTTTTAGTTTAAAGTGTTCTCTTCCTTATTTGTGTATAAACTGACCTGGAGGTTACGACTGTCTGTTTATCTTCATGTGAGACAGTCAAACTCTGTGGTTCTCAGACCTTAAATTCTTCTTGTGTTATCTACCCTTTTCTTAGTTGATAGTTTGACCTAGAGCTGAACTGGGCTCAGACCGTAGATCAGATATCACACCTGGAACTGGGCTGCTAGTGTTTGGGTTAGAAGTTTTACGACCTCTGTTGTTTTTACTGACTGCCCCCTGTGACTGTTTTTCTTTGACAATAAAAGAAGGAACTCACGTGAAAGCAGATCAGAACTCTCTGTGAACAGCTTGGAAAAGCTGCTATCGGAGACTTCTCCTTTTGCAAAAGCTTTGTCATAAAATTCATATACGTTGTCTGTGGTTCTTTATGTAGGTTCGAGAAAAATACCCATCACAATTATTTTTCTGTCTATAGAAGTTACACCTGGTCTAGTATTCTGATTGGTTAGTTGATGACATAGTGCTGTCATCAACCAATTCTCCCTCTCCTACTGTTAACTTTTTACTTTTCATTAACAGAAAGTAATCCTACATCAGTTCTTCTGGTTTTTTGAGTGTCTCTGCTCTGACTTCCCAAACCCCCAGTTAGTCGTGGAAGATGGCCTTGATACTGAAAAAGGTTCTGGTTCTGGTTCTGTTGAAGATTTTCTCCTCTTAAGGAGAGTTTTTCTTCTCCACTCTCGCTACGTGCATGCTTAGTGTGAGAGACTGCTGTAAAGTCACTATATGCTCGTCCAGGAGGAGAGAATGCAAGTCAATGACTGCATGCAACCTGCTGGGTTTCCATATAAAGAGAAACTTTGTTTTTATATTTTTTTGTTTTTGACAAAATAATGTACATTTAATGGACAATTAAGAACCTGTGTACCCTAACTATCATGTTTGTTGAGAGGTTCTGATAATGATGCCGAGCAAAGCCCTTCGACAAATATGATACAGCTGCTGTAACAGAGAAATAAAACATGCTTTTTGCTGTTTTTTTCTTAGAAATCTCAAACTCCCAGCGTTAGAAAGCAGATCACCTTCACCTTTCTACCACAGTAGAACAACAAGCAGAGAGAAAACACTCAACATTCTCTACCCGCATCCGGAATGGGCAGAATGTGGGATTAAGAGTAGGCATGAGGGGAAATGAGATCAACTAAATGTTTTTTCTGAGCTTCATTTTTATAAACAATGCACATTTGAATTAGTGGTCAACCATTTGAGGGCGCTATGACAGGAAAGGTTACCAGAGCAAAACGAACAGGTCTGACTCAGCGCCCCGCTGTATGTGCTACATCCTCAGTGACTGGCTGTCTGCTGAAACTGACTTATGAGTCCAGTTAAGTTTTGGCCACAGTAAATGTCCTGCCGATAGTTTAGCCTTAATATTGCAATTTGTCTTGCCCGTCACTGTGAGGACCTGCGGAAGTGAGTGTTATGTAAAGAAGGCCTGGAGGACCTTACAAGCCTGGCAAGTGAAAGATGACAGGCAGCATGTCTCTTTCATTCAGGAGAGCAGTTCTGCTCGACTGGCTGCGCCCAGCAGCAGGCAGACACAGTGGCACTTCACCTAAATTAATGGCTGACCCAGTCACTACACAGCAGAGTGAAGAGTTATGGCCAGAGAGCAGTGGCAGGATAGGCAGCAAACATGGCTAACAATGGGGTAGCGGGATGTTTGATGAGGGGAATCAAAGCGGAGGCTAGGAGGTTAAGATGGATGGATTAGCTTTGTTATCAGGGAGGCCATGGAGGCGCAATGCCAGCTGTCCTCACTAGCTTATCTTCACATCCAAATGGCTAATCCAATCACTGACCTCCTCTGTCTCCCTTCTTTATATTCAGTGATGTTTCTAAATTTGTGACTGAGGTGTCAATTTGGGTCATTTACTGCTTTGGACTACCAGGTGTCTCCTTCCTTTATTTTGAGAGTTTATTCATCAGTCTCCCTAACAAATTGTTTATAATGTGTTTTTTTGTTTGTTTGTTTGTTTGTTTTTACTTCTACAAATGATAAATTCTCAGTCAAATAAAACTAAATCTTTATTGTTTGCCCATTGGCTGTCAGTTTATTGACCAGACTTTTATTGCATATTTTGTCCTTTTTTTATTTGTTTATTGTTAGTATTATTTCTATCAAGTGTCCCACAGGAATAGTTGGGATTTTTCAAAGAGGTTAATATCAGCAAAACCTCTCTTACCTGTGGTAGATAAATGTTATCTCACACTCATTTTGTAGGAGAACAAATCCTTAAATCAGTAGTGTGCTAACATCTGTCCCGTCTTCAGCTAATATTAGCCATTTCAAGCTCAACCTAAAATGTTCATGTCCTTCTCAAAACCATGGAGGAGTCCAACAAACAGAGACCTGGACAGAACCTGCCTGACCTTTAGAAGGGGCAGTATTATGTATTCTCCAGGCACAGTGTCATTTATAACACAATATTAACTTCAGTTGTAATAAAAAAACAAAATGCTATATTTATCAAAAATACTTGACATTGCATCATGGCTGTAGGCAACAGGTTGAAATTGGCCTCTGTCTCTGTAAGAACCTCCTACTCCTTCCATCACTCTCCATTAAACACATCATTACGAAGCTTAGGAGTTGTAGATCCAATGATGAGCTTAGCAGGTCCACCAGGCGTTTGCTAATTGTTGCTGTCGCTAGTCTGGAGGAGGTAAGTGGGGGAGGTTTTGGGAGGGGCGCTGGGTGAGGAGCTCAGCTGGAGACTGCAGCTCCAAGGCGGAGCTTTGTGGAAATAGGCGGAGCTTTGTGAGAGCAGGCAATTAGGAACCCCAGAATGGATTGAATGGATTGCAATCCTTTAGCATAAAGGATTGCTCCTTCATGCATAAAAGAGCAAAGCAACAGTCCAGGTGTTTCTTCTTTCTGACGAGGGTACAACATCATATCACAATGTAACGCTCAAAGACGGAAATGGAAAACATGATATAAATCCTTTTAAAAGTTAAGAGTTATAAATAAACCAGTCATAAATTTATTGCAACTCAAAAGAATATCACTACTTTAAAACTGTTTGTGGAAACTTCTGGCTTTATGAATTTTCTGAACATTTTAATATTATATGTTCTAATGTTTGTGTTTGTTTATTTAGTCATTCAGTGATATTAAGATATATTTCTCTGGGCTCTTCATGTTAATTGTTTTCATCACTACTGAAAAAAGAATGTACACATCATGTTATGATGAACCCAGTATGGAATAAGTGGTTTTGAGGAAGTCTGTTATCATTTTATGTTGGTTCTTTATTATTTGAAGTAAAGAAGAACCAACATAAAAAGATAACAGACTTAATTAATTAATCAACATGCATGCTTGAATACTGTGCCAGACTTGGCCAAAGAAATTGTTTTTCATTTTTAATACCTGGTAGATTAATGTAATCCATCCATCCAACCAGACCAGTGCTGTGTTTTAATCTGTAATGTCATGTTTTCGCTATCTAAACTCAGAAAAAGCATCATAAATAACAAAAATAAAGATTTAAAAACGTCAATCTGTGTATAATTAATGTATAATTGTGTTTTACTTGGTTGCATCCCAATCATTTAGCTGAACCATGTCAATAATTAAAGGTGAGGGGCTGGAATTTAGTAGGAACTCTTACTGTTAAATATAAAGTGAATCACTTGTAGCCAGTTTAAAGTCTAGATTTAATCCATTACATATCTGCTGCTTTAGTTTCTTCCTCTCTGATAATAGGTTAAAATGCTTTAAC